TGGCAAATTGTATTTATTTTTAAATGAATCTCATTTATTGAGATTGATAATTCCAGGTTTCATTTGCTTTGAAATTGCATTTTCCAATTGCTTCCAATGATAAGTTCTGGCAAAATGTGGTCCACATGGCAGCAAAAGATTTTTTTTTTAAAAAGCCAGTTGACCTACTCTGTAAATGTATTATCTTTTACACTACATACAAAATATGGTAGAAGATGGAAGTAAAAAGTACTAGTATAACTCTGATACGAAATTCTTTCAGAACAAAGCACTTAAGCAGAACTATTCATCTACATTTTTCCATTTGAAAAATATTTTTTTTACTGCCAAAATGCATTTTCTATCTCTGTTATCATAGAAAATAAGCCATCAGTGCTTATTTAGAAAATTTTTAATTATTCAGATACCAAGTAACCTGAAAGATAAAGTAGCCTGATTTACTTTATGGAACTACAATAGAAATATGGCCTTGTGGCACTAAAAAATTAGTCCTGTACCTTTTGAATCACAAGAGAATTATTCCATTCAACTCAATAAAGCTTCAGGACTAAGAGTCTTTACAAATCAAAACTAAGTTTGAAAATTTGGCAAAGATAAAATGTTTTAATGGTAACACCTGGCCAATCAAAGCACTGAGACACCAGGTATGGATGAAGCAGAGGAGAACTTATTCAAGTGTATTCCTAGCTCCTGACAGAGTAGACAAAGGGAGCTTAAACCACAAAAATAAAAATTTTCCAAACAAAACCCTAACTACTAACTTTATGATGTGTGGCAGGCCTCCAAAAATGGAATAAAGACCTAGTTAGGTCTCACAGTATTTTCAACATTATTTAGCATTTTAAAATACAAGATATAACCAGTTTTATTTTATTAAACAGATAAAGGAAAAGGAAAAGATCTATCATTTGATATCTGCTGAGTGATTGGGGTTCTTGGGGGTTTTGCAGTTCTGCTTATGTAGCCAAGAATCTCTGAGAATAATACTGAAGCTCATCAATAGTGATCTAATTTATATACGTTTCTTTCTTATCTCCTTCACAAAAACAAAAGGCTCTGGCATGGGACTACTTTTAGAAACTCCTTATTTCTTGTTCAAAATTATTTCAGAAGAAAAATATTCCATTTTAGCTCTCCCTACCTTCTATCAGAATCCCAGGACAAAGACTTTGGTATAGCTATAGTTTCAGAATTACCAAATCTGTTTTTGTGTTTCCTCCTGATGAATTAGAAAACATGGCTCTAAAGTTAAACTCCAATCTGTGGATATTTAGGGTTCTTCTATCTTCTGGTGTGGCATGGAATGTTAATACCCTCACTTAGTGTGTAACTGTCATTTCCATATTGTGAAAACCAAGAAAATATTTTTAAATTGACATCCTTAGGTAAGAAAAGAAAACTGAGAAGCAAAACGAAGTGAAATCTTCATTATAGTCCATATAATTATGACACTAAAATAACTCAGGTATGCTCAGGTATTTATTAGTAGTGAACTCTACACATAAGCCTAGACTTTCCCAGACCATTAAAGAAAGCAAAGAAAGTCATTCTGTCCTCAACAGCAAATATTTCACCTTTTGCAGTGTAAATTCTAGGCATTTCAAACACTTAAAGAAACGTTTAAAACTTACTTCTTCTAAAAAGTTACACCTGCTTCTTGCTTACATTTTTACTTAAAGGTAACAGGATGTAATACATTTTAAAGGTACACAAAGAAATCCAAGCACAAAATTAAACATAAAAGATGTATTGTCCTTGTAGGTTATTGACACATACACTTCAAACAACAGAGCCCTGGTTGCTTTTTAAATAAGTAAATTAATGAACTTTCCAAAGCATGTCAAATTATAGCCTTTACTAGTAAAATATTCTGTTAGTTGTAAACCTCTATTTGTGGCCATTTTGGCCTAGGATTTTTAATATAAATGAGACCAGAAATGACAAAGCATGGAGGAAGGTACTTTCCATCTTGAATATTTAAAGAGGGAAACATTTATCTAGAATGAGTGATATAAAAAGTAAAAATGAACATTCAAGGTCGGGTTTTAGAAAAATCTGAAAAAACATAGCAGAAATTAAGATACAAGACTACTGTTGTACTACTGAAGATATTTAACACTTTCTAAAGACATCTGATGTGAAATATGAGAGAAATTATATAATTGTGGAATAAAAATAGTATTTCCTCCCCATAGAGGTCTCGAAATAAAAAAAAAACAAACCAAAAACTAAAGCCACCAAATTACAGAACATAATTTTATAACCATTAAAATACACCAAGAAAAATAGTTTAGCCATAAAGTTGTTATAACATATGCTACATGCCTTATATATGAATATAATATAAGGAGTTTTATTAGCATGCATCCTTTAGAATAGTGGATTAGTTTTTATTACTGTAATGAATCCTGTCAAATTTGGTTAAAAAGTTAACTCTATTCAGATATATGTAGTCAAGAAGCCTTTATTTTATTATCACTCATGAACTTGACATAAAGACTGAATATTTAATTTTTTACTTCAGATTGTGTTTTGAGAAAATTTCTATTTGGAACTCTTTACAAGTTCCTTTATCCTTCACTATTCATGGAATGTAACTTCATCATTTTTTATGGGTTTTACAAATAGTATTTTTTAAGTTAGTACTTTATGAGAAAGAAACTAATTCCTGTATAGAGCATAATTTATAGCTGCTAAAATTCAGGCTGCTCTGCAAATGATCTTCTAGTCTTACTCATTGGGAGGCAAATAAAAGCAGCTGAAAAGTTCCCTTAATAAAAGCATTTCCATATGTATCATAAATCATTAATCATAAATTACTAATTTCCTCCAAAACAGCACAGTGCATTGTGGGTGAACAATGGTATTTAGAAAAACAAACTAGTCAGTAATTAACTATAGAGAGTTCTAGAGTTTAAAGCAGATTGGTTTAAATTATTATACAGTGGCAATTCTAATGTAGGCTTCTTTGCTTGGTTATTACTCTGACTGCTGCCACACATTCAAGTGTGAGGGCTACTCTGAGTCAATAGATGGCAGTCCATTGCCTGGGAAAGGAGCTGAAGAGGACTAAAATCACCATGCATTTTTGCCTTACTAAGGACTGACTATTGCTTACTGCCCAGATCTGGATATTTCCTATATACAACAAAGATAATTTACATAATTATTTAATGATTTTATTTTAGAGGGACTGATAGACATGCAGATGCATTTATAAACATACTTATTTTGGATTTATACTTGCATGGTAAACCAATTATTAATTTAAACTCAATAGTTATAAATTATAAGTTGCTTTAATATTATTCCCTCCCAATATTACTTTTATGTCAGTTTGGGCACATTGATGTTTCAAAATAATTTTATTATCTTTATAGCTAAAAAGATAATTTTAAAAATCCATTAAAAAACAAAAACACAAGATAATTACCTAAAAATTTATACTGTTCTATTTTTTCCTAGCTTTTCTTTTTATAATTTATGTATGCAAAAAGCTAAGGTATAAAACAGAACATGAAATGTTTTTACTGTTATAGGATAACCTGATATATCATATCCTATGTTAGTTCTATAAAATATGCAGGTGTAAATAATTAAAATAGTGGTGTTAAAGTTGTAATTTCCATACTTCAAGCCAACTTTGAAAGATGAGAATTCTCCAAATCAGAGGAAAGGAGAAAGAAACACAATGTCAAATCCATTAAGATATTATGTAGTAATTATTATGGAAAAATATTACTATGTACAAAGATGTGACAGACTTTATGATCTTGCAAATCACAGTAACACATGATTAGATTCCTATCAGGTATAGGCTCTAGAGATTTCATCTTAGTATGTCAGGTTAAAAAACCTGCTGTATAAGCATAAACTCATATGGAATGACTCCATATGACATCTAATATAATATATGGTGATACACACTCTTTTAAAAGTTTTTACCAAAATTTTTGAGGGAAAAAGAAAGAATGACAGCTTTCTAGTAATACTCCTCAAATAAATTAAAGTGATAACAAAATAAGGCAAATCATGTAATATTCCTTGCTTCTTGGGCCTGTATCAAACAAGTAGTATGAGTCAACCTGTTAGCTTTTTTTTATTTCTCTAATAGAAGAACAATAAGAAGCAGGATATGCTTTATAAACACTCTCTTTTCTACTTTACTACCTGTGTTCTATAAACAAAAACTTTTTTATACCCTATACTTTAAGGAGCAACTTTTAATTATATATTTATATAAGTAAAAATTACTGTCTCTTAAATCTATTTCATACATAAAAGAAATGACCAATAGGACTATGATGAATTATTAAAATATTAGTATTTTGATATTAAAATGAAAATTAAACTGACTTAGTAATATCATTGGCCAATTAGATTCTATAGCAAAATATCTCTATGCTGCTTTTTAGTTTACAAATCACAATAAAAGGAAACTAGAAAATGGAGTAACTACTAAGCACACACTTGTATGTTTTGAATAATAAGTCAAGAGGGGCTTAAGGATATGACAGGCAAATTACTTTATATGAAAGATATATTAAGCTTTTTCTAGCTTTATTAAAAATGTATATTTCAATAAAATCACAATTATACAGGAAGATACTGTGGACCGTATGCTTCTGGACTGTAGCTAATGTAACAATTTAAAGACACTAGACTACCATAATTTTTTTAATTGCATCTAGCACATTTTTTTCTCCTTTATTTAATGAATGTAGTCTGGGAAGACTGAGAGAGACAATGATGCAATCATTAAATGATGCAAGTAATAAAAAAACAATCACAATCTTGAAAGAACAGGAAGACAGAGCATAGAATAGCAGGGAGTGGAGAAGAGAAAAAGTGTGTTCCTGCTTTTCTCTGTAGAAAAACTAGCTCTTCAGATGTTTATTATCTTCCAGCAGGAGATGCTTGTCTATATTTTATGGTCAGCAGTTCAGAGAAGGGTAAATAGGCTGGGTCTTGGGGAAAATAAAAAAGGTGTTTCTACTCACTGTTAGGTGATACTGCCTCCAGATTTCTGGGCAAGC